GAGTACTCGTTAACAGTTTTATGAGGAGTAATTTGTAATCAGAAAATGAGTATCATACAAAGGCCTCAGAAAGCTGCATCTTTGTTGACACCGACTTTCCCCAAAAAAGAGAACCTCAGAAAGAAGTCACTTGTTTGACTTTGAAGGAGGTAGGAGTCCCTGTGTTTGTATTCCTGTCTTTTTCTTTGAGAAAAAGAACCAGATAAAATCAACTGTCACATTTTTAAAATAAAATAGTGACTAATTGCAGCTCACATTTCCACACCCTCATCTGTCTGCTCAATCATCATCAGTTCCTTTAAAGTCACTGCATACTTTTGTTTTGGTTTCACTAGGCTGAGAGCTGAAATTTTCAAGGAGAAAAAAAATTACAAACGAGTGAGTGGAGGCCAAGTGAAGCCTTTTCCCTGTGGTTTCCAGTTTTCTGTTGAGTTCACACCACAGAGGCACAAGGACAGCCACCTTTTTGGTTCCCAGCATTTATAAGGGTTTATACAAAATATTCCAGGTAATAAAGCTTTAATCCTCTTCTTCTTTCTCTTCTTTGTCCTGGTTAACCTGAAAGTAACATAATTAGTAACTTTCTTTGCTATTGGTGACTATATAAACAAATTACATAAATCCTTCTTCAAATATTTTTGGTGAGACATTTCAAATACCTTTTGGAAAAAGGCATCTAAGGGGATAATTTTGCTCTTGCTTCTTTCAGTTGTTACAACCTCTCCATGGAGATGACCAGCTTTCCCATTAACCTTGATTCTTTCTTGAAGAAACTGCTCGAAATTGGCAACAGCCATGATTCCATCTTCTACAGGGAGCGGGGCAGTCAATGGTGAACTTCAGAACCTGCTTCTTTTTTTTTGCCCCTTCTTCCCCACAAGCTTTTTGCCAGATACGAGGCAGCAGTGGAAGCAGAAAGTTGCATGTTTACTAATTTTTTATTGGATGCTGGACAATGTGGATTTTACATCACTGAGTGATAGGTTTTGTTTTGTTTTCTTTAAAGAGTGTTGGACTCTGTTCTGACAAGCAGTCAACTTACTTACTGAGCAGCTTGATACTTAAGAGCCTGCTCTACGTTTTGTTAGAGGGGGTCCAGATTAACCTTTGCTCTAGGAATAGTTTAGCCATCCTACTAAAGTGTGACTCTTCTGAGGCCTTTACTGAATGTGCCACTTCATCACGGAGTCTCCAATCTGGCTAGTCAGAACTTGAACATCTCCTAACCCTATGTGAGCTCTGAGAATTGTTGAGTTTACAGTTCCCTGGTCAGTCTTTGCCCAGCCTCATTGAATTTCACCTTACACAAACAAAATTTAGTATTTAGCAACAGATCCAAGGGGACTCCCATACATACTTCTGGAATTCTTTGACATGTAGCTTCCTGCTCTCTGATACCCTGCCAGACCAAAAAAAAAAAAAAAAACAAAACACTGTTATTGGGTCAATTCTAACTCCTAGCAACCTCTATACCTCCATTGAGTTTCCAAGACTGTAAATCTTTACGGAAGTTGATTGCCTCATCTTCCTCTGTGGAGCAGCTGGTGGTGGATTTGAACTACTGACCTTCTGGTTAGCAGCCAAATGTCTTATCCACTACACCACCAGAGTCCCTTTCCTTGCCCAAAGCCTCTCTTAAACATATGCTATACTTGTCCATCTAGATGCAACAATGGGTCTCTCCTCATCCAGAGCAAAGAAGAATGAAGAAACCAAAGATGCATGTAACAATTAGTCCAAGGGACTAATAGATCGTGCAATCCTCAGCCTACATGACCATGAGACCAGAAGAACTAGATAGTGACCAGCTACCACTGTCAGCTCGGAAAGGGATCAGTACAGGAGATCCTGGACAGAGTGTAAGAACCATGTGGAACAAAACTCAAAATCATTGAAAAAAAAAAAAAAAGAAGAAGAGAAAAGAAAAAGACCAGGTTTGCTGGTCTGATAGAGCCTGCTGAGCCCCCTGAGACTATGGCTCCTAATTACCCTTCGAGTCTGGAATTGAACTCACTCCTGTGGCTTCCAGCCAAGCAATAGACAGGCACATAGGGTGAACATTTGCATTGGGTAGATACACTTCTTAGAGTGATCAGTCATGGGAGATCAGAAGGGCAGTGTTTGCACAGGGAGACAGCCAGGGGTGGGGGTCAGGGAGGCAGGAATGCATAGGAAAGGAAGACACAGGGAAGAGGTAACTACAGGGAGAAAGTGGGAAGAGAGCTGTTACATTGTGGGGAATTACAGTCAGTGTCATGAAACAAAATGTGTATGAACTGCTGTATGGGAAATTAATTTGCATTAATTTGCTCTGTAAACTTTCACCCAAATCACAATAAAAATTAAAAAGAAAAAAACTTTAATTAAAGAAATCTATATATATGTGTGTGTGTGTGTGTGTGTGTGTGTGTATATATATATATATATGTATGTATATATATAGCCATACTTTAAGGAGCTCTGGTGTATCGTGAATAAAGCATTTGGCTGCTAACCAGAAGGTCACCAGTTCAAACCCACCAGCTGCTCTGCAGAAGGCAGATGGGGCCATCCACTTCCATAAAGATTTACAGTCTTGGAAACCCAATGGAGGTTGCTATGAGTCAGAATTGACTTGATGGCAGTGAGTTTGGTTTCATTTTGGTATACTTTAAGTTAGAGATTTTACAGTGTATTGATCAATAATTAATCAATTATATTTACTGGGTTCATAACTGTGGGAAAGATCCCACAAAAGGTGTGGAGAGGACGGTGTCCTATCCCCCACCCCAGTCATCCCCACATGAGCCCAAGACAGTGATTGAGAAATGGGTACAGAGGTCAGGGATGGTACCTTGAGCAATAGGGCTGCACAATGACAAAACGTGATGCTGCTGTCTCCTCTCTGGAACCACTGTTCATCCTCCGGCCCACGCCCCCACTTCTCCAGCCTCTTCAGCCTCCTTCACCCGTGGGGACCCCGAGAAATTTGCTACTTCTCCCTTCCCTGGGCTCCCAAATCTTGTCTAAGTGTTTGACTCAGCATGAGGATAAATCATATCCCAGATCAAATCTGAGTGTGGGAAACTATCCCGACTTGCTCTGGGTCCTGAGGCCTCAGGAATTAGGGTTGGAAGCCTCCTAACAATTCAGGTTTTCAATATTCTTGGCAGAAAAGGAAAGCCACAGGATAGGGGGCATGAATGAGTCTGGGAGGGAGAAGTCCCTGAGGCGGGAGGGTTGTAGTACAGGAACTAACAAGAAGAAACTTTGAGCAGGAAGTGTCTTGCCCATGACTGAATCCAAAGTTTCAAACTGGTAACTCTCAAATGGAATCCACCCATAGATGTTTCTTGTTTGGACTGCATAGTATTTTCATTTTTTTTTGAGCCTAATATTAAAAAATCATATGTTACATCAAACTCCAAGTTCCTAGCATCCTTGACAAATCAGAAGGTATGGTGGTAATGGACCAATGTTCTCACATGGCAACAATTGGCTGGAACTTTAGGCACTGGCCTCTTCAGGTAGCAGTTTTGCTACAGTCTCCACTACTCCCTACCATCCAGCACTGAGGCCCAGCATCCTCTGCCCCTCTAAACTGAGCTGGCACTGTTTTCCTTACTCTCAACCTGTCTCGTAATGTCTCTTACTTTTCTGGCCTCTTTAGGCACTTAAATTTTTTACTCCTTAGCTATTCTTGAGAAGCCTTGGTGATGCAGCCATTAAGTGCTCAGCTACTAACCAAAAGGTTGACTGTTCGAATCACCAGCCACTCCATTAAGAAAAGATATGGATGTGGCAGTCTTCTTCTGTAAAGATTTACAGCCTTGGAAACCCTATGAGGTATTCCTATTCTGTCCTATAGGGTTGCTATAAGTTGAAATCAACTCAACAGCAGTGGGTTTTTCCTTTTTTAGCTAGTCTTGACCCTTTGTTTAACAGAAGAAAGTGATGCCTACACAAGGGCCATGATCTGGTTACAATATCAAGTGAATCAGTGGCAGAACCAGGACGAGAATCCCAGTGCCCTGACTCCATCTCCACTGCCTGTTTCTGAGTATATCCTTGGCCTGACTCTTCAGTGCCTGTTCCTGCATCAGTGCCCGGAAAGTCTAAGTCAGCGCTGATTTGGGAGCCACAGAGCACGGGGTGCCTGGAAGAGGGCCAGAGGTGTAGTGGGACATAGGGCAGGGGACGGGACAAAAATCCACATTGTGGGTGACTAGATCCTTCCGCTAGAGCTGGCCACTTCTGCCTTTGGAAAGGGTTTCACAATATCCCGTGTGTGAGTGTACGGTGGTGATGTAAGAGGTGGCAGGGGGGACCATCTGTGTCCAGCTGAGGATGAGTAAGAGAGTGAGCACTCATACACTCACATATGCCAGTGCACAGAGAGGGGGCCTAGGCACAGGAGCAGCCCAGCACGTTGCCCACACGCAGAGCGTACCTCAGGTCCACCATCCTCATGACAGGTGAGCAGCCTCCTCCAGGGTCGGGGTGGAGCCCAGGTGTGGGGGAGAATCGGACAGGCAAAGGAAGTCCCTGGTCCCCCATGGTAGTCCTGGTCTAGGCCACAGCTCTGGAGCCCAGCCTGGGGTTGGGTTCTGCTCATTCCCAACAGCATAGCTTTTCTTGTCCGATCTTAGGCCCTCAGCTTCCTTCACTGCTGGAAGAGGCAGGGATGGGGCCAAGGAGCAGACACTGGAGGTTCAGTGTGCCCTCCACAGAGCCCAGTGTCCTCTCCCTATCCTCTGTGGAGGAAGAGATCTGGATTGGGAGGTCTCTGTGCTCACAGGAGAGGAGAGTGTAATTCTGGGGTGTTTACTCCCCCTATCTTCCGCTGGAATGGTTGGCTGAGGGGTGGAGGTGATGGACTCAGGATGGGGGGTCAGGGCCTCCTCTTCAGCTGGACCTTGGCTTCTACACTTTGCCAGAAGGGGGAACTATAGCAGATGGCTTTAACCCCAAGGCTCCAGAAAGAGGCAGGTCACTCACCATGCCTCTTGGGACCCCTTGCAGGTGACAGAGGTCCCCGAAGGCTTGGCAGGCCCAGCTACGGCTCCATCTCCAGCCCGCCTAGCCCAGGGTCCCAGCAAGTGCCTTCCAGAAAGACGTACCTGAGTGAGAAGATCTCCATCCCAGATGCAGAAGTGGTGGGTATGCTGCAAACTTTTTGGGGTCTTTCAGGATCAGTGGGATCACATGGGAGCTCATAGGCTCCAGGGAAGGGGGTGTCTCCGTGTGACCGGCAAGTGCCTTCCAGCTCTGAGTAGCAGCGACTGACAGGGGCAACTCCCTTCCTGCTTTGTCCCCAGCACTTAGGGATAGCTGCTGAATATTTGTCTAAATGATCAGATAGCTTTCTGAATGAATCTCAGCTTTCCTGTGAAGACAAAAGGGCCTTGGGTGAATTAGGGTTGGAGCTTCGAGTATTTATTTTAGCATCAAAAGAAAGGACCAGGACAAGGAGAAACAGGAGGCTGCAGGCTGGTGTACAGGACCCTGTCACCCTGCTCGCCCACCTTTAGCAGATGCCTGTTTCCTCGGCCAGGGTGGGGCTGGGGGAAGCCCTGTGGTCTGAGAAGAGGCTGGGGGGAGCTGGGCCTGGAAAGTCTTGCCCCTTGAGGCTTTACAGTCCTGCTGAGTCAGGATGTGCAAGAGGCAGGCTGGGTCAGGTGCAGGCTGCAGAACATGATATCCAGAAAGCGGATCCACTGTGACTCAGCAAAGCCTGCGGTTCCCCCCACCCCACGCCCTCCCTGGTCTCCAGAGGGCCAGGCTGGGTAGCCTGGGCTGGCAAGAGTGCCGGGGCTCTTCAGGGCACTGCCCGGGGCCAGCTGCTGCCCAGCCATACCTAGAACCCTCCCCTTCCTCCCATCCAGGGCAGGTTCAGCCTGCGGAAGCTGTGGGCCTTCACGGGGCCTGGCTTTCTCATGAGCATCGCTTTCCTGGATCCAGGAAACATCGAGTCAGACCTACAAACGGGTGCCACGGCTGGATTCAAAGTGACCGAGTTGGGACCTGGGGGGCCTGTGGGGCAGAGTGCGTGGAGGCCCTCAGCTTCCTCGTTTCCCCAGGGTGGCCTACATGGATGGGGTTCCAGGGAGCAAGTGTTAAGTTTAAGGTGGGCTGGGAAAGGATGCGCAGGCAGGCCCTGCAGATGGTACGGTGTGTGTGTTGGGCCGTGTCCCCCACACTCTCCCCGGGGAGTGCCCTTGTTAGTACCAGCTTGGACTGCCGGAGCCCGGCCCCCCTGGCTGACTGCCTCCTGCCTTCCCCACAGTTGCTCTGGGTGCTGCTGTGGGCCACGGTGCTGGGCTTGCTCTGCCAGAGGCTGGCAGCTCGGCTGGGCGTGGTGACAGGCAAGGACTTGGGTGAAATCTGTCATCTCTACTACCCAAAGGTGAGGTTGGTGGGCACAGCCGGGAAATACCCACAGGTTCCAAACCCTGAACAACCATTTACAGCTTCTATGATGAAATAAAACCATCATCTTATGTGAGTGTCACAAGTCCATTTAATAGATGAGACAATGGAGGCTCAAAGTAATAGGCCGAGAGGGCTGTTAGCGACACCACACTTATTTTACAGAAGGGGAAATTGAAGCCTGGGGGAGTGATTTGTCCAAGGTGGAAAATTGGTAGGCATCAATTAGAGGATGGTCACTTGGGGTAGGCATTGGAGATGTGGCTGTTTATTAGTCAGTGTCTACTTAGGAAAAGAGAAATCAAGCCACCAGATATTTCAAAGGTATGGAATTCAGGCATTTATTTGCAAAGATGTTAGAAGGACTGGAGGAGTGTGTCCCAGAAATCAAGAAGCTTTTCTACTCCTGGCCAGGAGCCCGAGAGCATCACTTATTGCTGGGCTTCTGGAGGTCACCACTGCCACCACCTCTGAAATACCCACCAATGTTGCTGCTGCCACTGGCAACATCACTGCTGGAAACCCCACTGGAGCAGGGAAAATGGTTTCTCTCCCCCTTTCAATCTCCCATGAGTGTTTCCTACAGAGCTTAGCTGGAAGTAGCTGGCAAGGTTGTCTTGCAAATGTAGTTTGCAGGCTTCTGGCTCAGCAGTAGAGTGTGGTGTGGAAATGGGAGAATAATGCTGAGAGACAGCAGACGGACAACTGGCACAGTCCCCATGATGGCTACCTCCTCCCCCACAGGTGCCTCGCATCCTCCTGTGGCTGACCATCGAGCTAGCCATTGTGGGCTCGGACATGCAGGAGGTCATCGGGACCGCTATTGCATTCAATCTGCTCTCAGCTAGACGGTACTGCCCCAAGGGCCCCAGCTATCCAGCCCAGGGCTGGGGACAACTACAATATTTGCCCCAGGCCCTGAACCTCCCTGAGTCCATTTCATCCTACAGTCCCCTCTGGCTTAGGGCTGTTGCCCTATGTGCCAGCTGGGGAACCTGAGGCCCAGAAGTATAAAGTGACTTGTGTAAAGTCACACAGGCAGTGAGTTGTGTGGACTTCAGGGCCACAGTCCAAAGCGCCCTGCTAGTCTGGGTCCCCACCCTCACCCCAGCCCCTGCCCAGCTCTGTCCTCCTAGAGCGTTCTCCTCATTTTCCCATCGCAGTCCAGGGCCCTCCTCCCTTAGCTGTCCGGGGCCTCTTGGGTCTCTGCCCCCAGAACGCCAGATTCTTCAGTCTCCAGCACTGAGGGTGGGAGTTCCAAGGCCCTGGACCAGGCTGGGCTGACACAGGCCACTCGGGTTTCAGAATCCCACTCTGGGGTGGCGTCCTCATCACCATCGTGGACACCTTCTTCTTCCTCTTCCTCGATAATTATGGTGAGCACGCACCATAGTGTCCTAGCACAATGGGCCTGGAGGGTGCGCTGGGGAGCTGGCCTACGGGGCAAGTTAACGTACTCAGCCTGTGCCGGGAGAAGGGCTCTGCAGTCAGACGCCTGGGTTCGAATCTGCATTCAGTCACTGTAGTTTCAAACGTTCCTTGGACTCTAAAGTCTTCATCATAACCTGGGGACAATAGCACACAGGTCATAGGGCTGTTGTGAGGGCGCAGTGAGGTGATATCCATGAATGCCTGACACAGCGCCTGATACAAAGCGCTCAAGAATATTAGCCGTCAATGTTGTTGTTGTCATGAGCCTTGGAGTCGACCCCCGACTCATAGCGACCCCTCCTTGGGTTTCCGAGGGGGTATCACTACGGAAGTAGATTGCCCAACCTTCCTTCCGAGGAGTGGCTGCCTTCTGGTTAGCAGTCAAGTGCTTTAGGCACTGCCATCAATAGGCCGTTACAATTGTTGGTTCTGCCCCTTTGCCCTGCCTCTAGGGTTGCGGAAGCTGGAAGCCTTTTTTGGATTCCTCATTACCATCATGGCCTTGACCTTCGGCTATGAGGTGGGAAGCCAAAGACGCCAATACAATCAAGACCACCCCTCTCCTGTCCCCCTGCGTTGCCTGAGGGGGGGAGCAGCGCCTAGCCATTTCCAGGAGCCTCCACGCCCGGAGTGGGGAGGAGGGGCCTGTGAGACTTGGTGTCTGAGGGGCGCGCTCGGCAGGGGCGGGGCTTGGGGCTCGGCCTGACGAGGCTCCTCCCCACAGTATGTGGTGGCGCGTCCCGCGCAGGGAGCACTTCTTCGAGGCCTGTTCCTGCCCTCGTGTCAGGGCTGCGGCCAGGCCGAGCTGCTGCAGGCCGTGGGCGTCGTGGGTGCCATCATCATGCCCCACAACATCTACCTGCACTCCGCCCTGGTTAAGGTGAGCAGACGGCAGGGGAGGGAGAGAGGCCTCGCTGGCCCCGCCTCTTGGAGCCCCGCCCTTTGATGGTTTTACGTGAGAAGTGAATCGGTTTCCATTTATTCAACATGTAGTAACCCTGAGGTGTCAGTGATAAAAAAGACCAGGTCCCTGCCCTCCTAGAGCTTGCATTCTAGTGGGGGAGGTTCAGGATGAGCAAGTAAAGAATGATGGGTAGTAACAGGTGCTCTGAAGGAAATGAAACAGAGAAGTATAGGAGGGACCAGTCGGAATGAGGAGAGAGCTACTTTAGAAAGGATAGCCTTTCTAAGGAGGTGACCTTGAGACATGAAGGTTGGAAAGGAAGATCCAGGAAGATTTTCCTCCTGATTTCTGCCTCCGGGCCCTTGCACTCACTGTTCCATTAGAACAAGGGCCCCAGAGAAAGAAATAAACCAGGCATATTGGTGCTGGAGCCTGTAAATGGGAGGAGTGTCATGGGCTGAGGGTAGAGAGGGCAGGGGCCAGGTCACACAGGCCTTGAAGGCCACCCTTCCTTCATTCACAGTTTGACACTTTGGACTAAACCTCTGTGGCAAGGGCAGAGATGTGGGAAGGGGGTCTGCTGACCAGCCTATCCCAGACTGCAATGTAGGGGGCTTTAGAAGCAACTGGAGTTTTGGGGAACACAGGTCGAGGTGGGAGGGTGACACTGGGGTGGTTCTGATCAACTCTGGCCCTTCTCTCCGCTCCGGCCCCCACAGTCTCGAGAGATTGACAGGGCCCGCTGGGCAGACATCCGAGAAGCCAACATGTACTTCCTGATTGAGGCCACCATTGCATTGTCTGTCTCCTTCTTCATCAACCTCTTTGTTGTGGCCGTCTTTGGGCAGGCCTTCTACCACCAAACCAACCAGGCTGCGGTGAGGCAAACCTTCCCCAAGCACCCACTCCCATTCCTCCCTACACACACACACACACACACACACACACACCCTGCAAGCTCAATGTTCTGCCCTGCACTCCCTGCACTGGTGCAGGGAGCGGGGTGTGAATTGACCTCTGGCTTACCTCTCCTCTCCTCTGATCCCTCCTCAATGGGGAGACTTCGCTGCACCATGCTACCCCCAACCCCAGGCAGCCTCTTAGAGGAGCATGCCCACACCAGGCTCGGCCATCCAAAAGAGCAAGTGGGAGGAAGGAGCTGAATCCTGGAGGAGCCAGCATTACAGCTGCTCCCTGAGGGGTGGGCAGGATTTGCCTTGCAAAGTGCACTGAGGGCTTGTGGGCGGAGCCTGGAGTTGGGAAGGTGCAGGCAGTCCTGTTAGTCTGAGTCCTCTCTCCCCCACAGTCTTCACTGTCAGCAACTAAGCTGTCACTCACTCAGCAAATATTTCCTCAGCATGTGTTAGTACCAGGTGGTATCCTGGACCCTGGAGATACAGCAGTCAGTCAATGATGCCAAGACTCTCTAGGAGCTTAAATCAGGAGGGGGTGAATGGACAGGAAAACAAATCAACAAATAAATACACAAAGAGAAGTATAAAGTGTGAGCCATGCTGGGAAGGAAATAAAGGGGGGGATGAGGGCTTCTTGGAGGAGGTGACATTTGTGCTGTGATGTTTTTCCCTGGTTCTCTGGGATTTGGGCTCTAACAACTGTCAGCCAGTGTTGGGTGCTTCTTGTGTGCGGAGCACCGTGTGGGGAGGACTGGCCAGGCCCCCCAGGACCTGGGCCCTGGCACTGCCTTGCTGTGAGTGTGGGAAGTCAGTGACCCTTCCTGGGTCTCACACTGCTCCTCAGCTTAAGGAAAGAGTGCAACTCGTGGTTGCAAACCCATGTCTTCAGGGCCAGGCCGGTAGCAGGGCTGTGGGAAGTGGATCTAAGAAGAGGGGACTGTGGGGCAGCCTAAATCACTTCCAGCCAATCATCTCTCTGCGGTAATGGCAGCTCTTCAAACCCAAGAGAAGCTGGGGATTCGGCTCTTATTAGAAATCTTCCAAATTTTAAGTGTTGTCAACGAAGTCACATTTTTTTTTTAAAGTATACACACACACAAATATATATATATATATATACACACACACACACATACACACACACACACACACACACATATAACTTTGTTGGTCAAAATATGTCTGGGCAAAGTCAGTCCGCGGGCCTCCAGTTTTCATCCCTGTCGAGCCTTGGCGGTCTCATTTCCCACGAAACGCGTCTGTTTCACATTTTCCTCCTCCTGCCCGGTTCCCGCAGTTCAACATCTGTGCCAACAGCAGCCTCCACGACTACGCCGAGATCTTCCCCCAGAACAACCTCACCGTGGCGGTGGACATTTACCAAGGGGTGAGCACTGGGCTGAGTGGGCAGAGAAGGGCAAGGACCCAGCCGCGCCTCTGCCCAACCCTGAGTGGGCGGGGCCTGCGCGGGAAGGGCGGGGCCACGGGTCTGACCACACATCTCCCCCTCCAGGGAGTGATCCTGGGCTGTCTGTTCGGCCCCGCAGCCCTGTACATCTGGGCGGTGGGTCTGCTGGCGGCCGGGCAGAGCTCCACCATGACCGGCACCTACGCGGGACAGTTCGTGATGGAGGTGGGACCAGGAGCGGGCCTGGGTCCGAGGACAACACATAGCGGGTGCCTTGGCCCTTAAAGCAGCCCCGAGGGTGCCATTATAAATTCCACTTTACAGATGAGAAAACTGAGGTTCAGAGAAGTGAGACTAACAAGCTCCTTTCCCCTAACCTGTTTAGTCTTCAGCTGTCAGCCGTGGGGAGGAAACCCCACCATCCCATTCCACAGATCTCCTTTCCTTTCCACAGAGCTGCCCACTATTTCACACACTGAAAAATACATAGGTCCCCAGAGGCGTGAGGTGGACTGAGGGGCGTCAGGCAGTTTCTCTCCTGGCATCTTCAGCCCTGACCCCCCCGCCCCAGGGCTTCCTAAGGCTGCGGTGGTCCCGCTTTGCCCGCGTCCTCCTCACCCGCTCCTGCGCCATCCTACCCACCGTGCTGGTGGCCGTCTTCAGGGACCTGAGGGACCTGTCAGGCCTCAACGACCTGCTCAACGTGCTGCAAAGTCTGCTGGTGAGCCAGGCTCCCTTCCCCCTCACTGCTGAGCTAAACAGTACAGCATTCTCCCCTGTGAACCTCCAAGGTTCCACGGTTAGATCCCCACAGCCGCCCAGGGAGGTAAAAAACACCAGTGCCCCCATTTATAGATGGGGAAGCTGATACATTACTGTAAGGGACAGCTGGGGTTCAAACCCAGGCTGCCTGTGCGGAGCCCCCCATCTGCTTTGGAGCCGCCCATCACTGACAGGCCTAGAGATGGTGCAAAAAGGGCATGGAGATGGCATCTTCTGACGTCCTTCAATCTCACAAGGGGAAACAGAGTCACCAGCAGCCGCCCAAGGCTTATTCCTAAGAGCCCAGGCATTCCACCATCTTCCAGCCTTTTTACCAACTCTGACACCAACTGTTACTCCCATAGCACTCACTACTTCTCTGCTGGGTTTGCTAATTCATTGCAATGGCCACACTGAACTCACAGACAATACTCACGATTATAGGGTTTACAGGGAAGTAACAGGCTACAATTCAAGTTCAGGAACTCGCTCAGGATACAGTTCTTCAATCAGGACAGTCTCCCCTCTGCTGTGCCCTCAGGCACGCCTCTCTGGCCCTTGGCCTCCCCACCTGGCCTCTGCCCTGCACGGGCAAGTGTGTGTTACAAAACTCTTTTAGCTCTGCCAATAGGTACACCTAGCACACCCCGCCCTGCCAGCAAGCCGCCTGCCCAAAGGCACTCAGCTTTCTCGCTCTGTGGGCCTGGTAAACCTGCTTCCCTATCCTGTGCCTCTTGGTTCCAGCGCTGTTGTCTCTCAGCCTGGCATCTCCCAGCAGGGGGTCTCTGCAAGGAGGTCCAGCACAGGGACCTCAGGTCCAAGAACACCCTCCACTTCACCTCAGCTCTTGTCTCTTGATGGCAGTGAGATCCCCTCTCCACACCCTCTGCCTCTAGGAGGACTCATTTTAAGCCCAGCAGCATATCAAAACTAACCAGTGGTCACATTAGAGTTACACACACCGTATTTGCATGCTCCCACCCAGTAATCTGGTGGGAGTTGCAAAACCTATGGCTAGAAAAGCCTTACCCCATAATTCACTGTACCAAAGATGGGAAACACTGAGACCTGGGATGGTTAGGGGTCTTGCCCAGGCTCCCAGACTGGAGGCCACAGGAGGCCTGGAGCTCTGCCCGCCCTTCCCTCCCTGCAGCCCCCTCACGGCCCCTCCTTGCTCTCCCCAGCTTCCCTTCGCCGTGCTGCCCATCCTCACATTCACCAGCATGCCTGCCCTCATGCAGGAGTTTGCCAATGGCCTGTGAGTACTCCCCATGGCAGAGACTAGATTTGCATTACTGCCTTTCATCCTTACAACCACCCAGGGTAAGATCTCCCATTATCATCGTTATTCAGGTGAGACTGAGGCTCAGAGAGGTTAAGCAACTTGCCCAGGGTCACACAGCTAGCAAGTAGGGGTGTAAGGACTGGAACTGGGGTGAAGTGGGGGCTGCTGTTTCTGAAGTGTGAGCTCCTCACCCTCAGCTCAGATTGCCTGTTTGTCAAATACTGTCAGTGTGGAGCCTGGAGAGCCACGGAGGGAGGAGTTGAATAAGGGGTCTGCTCCAGGCTCTCCGGGCCAGAGAATCAGGATTTGTGCACCTCTTCCCCTCCCCAGAGCCCTGGGCTGGCTGTGGGTGTAGAAGGAGGAGGAGAAGAAAGAGGTGGGTGGTCCAACTGCATTGCACCCGTCCTGAGAGCCCCCCCTTCTATCCCCTAGACTGAGCAAGGTCGTCACTTCCTCCATTATGGCGCTCATCTGTGCCATCAACCTCTACTTTGTGATCAGCTACCTGCCGGGACTCCCCCACTATGCCTACTTTGGTCTAGTAGCTCTGCTGGCTATAGCTTACCTGGGCCTTACCATCTACCTGGTACTATGGGACAAAGGGGTGCCTTGGGCATTGGGAAAGGAGGCAACAGATGCAGGGGCTATGGGGGTGACTCAACGAGGCTTCTGGGAATATCCTTGCCCCACTCATGGCCACCTCCTCCCCCAGGTCTGGGCCTGCTGCATCGCTCATGGAGCCACCTTCCTGCTTTCCAGCTCCCACCAACACTTCCTCTACGGGCTCTCTGAAGAGGAGCAGGAGACGGGAGGGACAGCTGGATGAGCCCCTGTGTGGGGCACCTGGCCTGCGGGACAGGGCAGCCAGGGTGTGCAGCCTGCAAATGGGGCAGAGCGCTTTGGAGACAGTTCCACCCGGGATCCATAACTAAGCCTGCTGCTTTCTAACCGGGGCAAGTGATTAACTCTGGGTCTCACTGTTCTCATCTATAAAATGGGAAGGCAATCACCTTGCAATGGATGTAAAGCATTTTCGCACAGTGCCTGGTACTTGGGGTTAAAAAAAAAAATCATTATGAAATATTTATTGAGCCCCTATAGGGTGACCCCGACAAACCCACCCAGTGGGGGTTGGGACACAAGCTCCACACTAGCACTTAAAATTCGTCAGCACTAGAGCCTGACGAATGCTGAACAACTGTTAGTTAAGTTCCCATTCGAAATACCAGAGGAACGGAAGCCAAGAAGGGGGCAAGCGGTGCTCCTCTCCCCGCTGCTCCGTCTGGGTTATTCCTACTCTCGGCTGAGTGGCCTCAGCCTTCCTGTCTTGCCCGCAATCCTTGCATTTTCCAGGCGATAAAGTGGAGGCTCAGCTCTCCCCTCCTTAAGCACCAGGCCATAAAGAACCCCAGAGTCCCTGCCTCCGAGGCCCAATTCATTTGCCATTTCCCCAGGGGACTGGACAGCTTGGAACTCCCACGCGGTGCTGTTAACTCTCCCTGGGCGCTGACTTCCTGCTCCCCCTAGGGGCGGGGACAGTCCCGAGCGCTGGCACTCGCGGATTCGGCCTCACCCCTCCGGGCCTCGGGGGCGGGCGCTTGGGTCCAAGTGCCCTGGGGCTCAGGAATCCATCCCAGAGGAGAGGTAGGGGAAAGCTTTCGGGGCGGGAAACCCACTCGGCACCTAGGAGCGGCCGGCTGCCCCTTCGCCCCGAGCTGGGGCTGCTCTTTACAGACGCTCCCTGGGCCGTTTCTAGGCTCCCCTAGGTCCCTCCTCCAGTCTCTTGAATCCTGGCTCCAGAGCTGCAGAGAGCTGCTGCTAGGAGGGGCCATAGGCCCTTTCAGGTGTTGAGCCTGGGGTAGGCTCTGGTCTAGAAGCACCCCCTGAATTCTCGGGATCCGGCTAGACGGGCGGCGCGGCTCCGCGCTTAGGTTGGGGCTCTTGTTTATGAGAAGAATGTCCTCTTTCTTAAAAGGGCGACGGTGCTAGTGGGGCCCTCATGGAGGGAAGGGATGAGACTGGTTTGGTTCACCCAGGGCAGCAGCTGCAGAGGGTCTCAGGGCACCCTCGTTCTCCAGGCGTGGCCCTGCAGAAGATGGGGCCCACGCGCGCCGACGGTGGGGGATGGATGGGAGGGGTAGTTGGTGAATGAAGAAAGGCACCTCCCGGGTCCCTTTCCAGCTCCCTGGAGGTGCCGTAGCTGTACTGCACATCTCTGTCAATTCACTAAGCATTAACTGGGCGCCAGCCGGATGTGCCAGACCCGCCCTTGCTAGACGGGGACAGAGAATGTCCTGAAGTAAAGGCGATGGCAGCTCTCAAGGAGGCCACTCCAGTGGGAAGACCGCAAAATAAACAATGTTCAAAGCAAAGGTTCTATAAAGTATGATAGGGCCAAGGCAGAAGGGTGTGCGGAGAACGGTAGTGCCCAGATAGGATTTCGAAAACGGAATAGGATTTGGCGGGGGGGGGGGGGGGGCAGTCAGGGGACACAAGCCTGTCAGGAATGGGGTCCGGTGTACAAAAGGGTAGAAACAAGAAACCTTGGAGGGGGGCAAGTTATAAAGGCCCCATCATTATTAACTGGCCTTTATAGCCAGTTAAGCCTCAGGACTTGGGGGGCAAAGGAGATGGGGAGGGGACTAGAGGCCCAGCTGATGGGCAAGGGGTTAGTGCTGAGGGCTGGCCAAGACCAGTCGTTAGGGACTCAGGCCCCTATGAGGGGCTGCCCCATCTTCATAGCAGCTCTGGTCCTCTTAGCCCTCCGGCCTCACATCTTACTTGGAAGGTGTAATTCCATTTCCATTCTGGGTACTTCTTCACTCCTCAGGCTGGGAGTGGCCTTGGCACCTTGATACTCCAGCCAGGGCTTAAACCACAGGCCCCTGCTCTCGGGAGGTTGAGTTCTGACCAACCTGTTTGGCGCCCAGGGAAGCTGAGGTGCTAGGCGGGAAAGACATCTCCGATAGTAGCCTGATGGAGGCAGGAATCTCACCTTTCCCAACTCACAGTCCCCATGACTTTGCACCTTCTGGGAGTGCAAGACGATAAAACAGATAAAGCGCCCCCCAACTGCTGCGGAAGAGGGGGAATGGTAACTGGGTGTGGAACCCCAAAGCACTGCGCGTCCGCACGTTGCGGAACTTCCAGTTTCTCGGTTATCACAAAATATCCACACACCCCACCCACGACGCTGGGCGGAAGGGCCTCTTGATTCACCCCGAATCCACCCCCACGCCGGTCTAAGGATGGGGATAACTCCAGGGCGACCGCGAAGCTGCCCCTAGGGCAGCCTTGGGGGCGGGAGGTCATCCAGGGTGAGACAGCCGCGCCAGCAAAGGCTTGCAGGTGACAGCAAGCACGTGCTGGGAGCGGGAGACGAGGCATCCCGTGAGCTCAGGGTGGTCTCGTCCGAGGGGCGGGAAGGGAGACCACGGGCCAGGCCCACTCCGCAGACGGAGGAGCGGTGGCCTCCGAGAGGGAAGAGCTCAGGCCAGAGGCGAGGCCGGAGGCTCACTTGGCAGGTCAACACACATTCCCTTTTGGGGCCAAAGCTGCCGGCGCATCCTGAGCTAAAGCTGGGGCCCCGGCCGGAGGGGAGAGGGCTCGGCCCTGAGGCTGGTCCCGCCTCTGCCCTTTGGGGGTGGGCCAAGGCCGGCAGCTCGCCTGAGCTCAGTTTCCTTATCGGTAGAATGGAATGGGGGGGTGTCCGGGAGATGAGAGGTGGAGACCGCGCAGCCGGAACGCGCCCCCGGCGAGGGGTTCGCCGCAGCGCAGCAAGAAATGCGCTGATGAGGAGCGATGGTGGCGCCGTGCAGGCGCCGGAGGGCAGAGGCGGGCGGTCCAAGGGCCCTGGCGTGCGGGCCGCCGCCTCCTCTGCGGACCTGGCGGACGTGCGCCGCGCTTGCTCCCGGCGCCCACAGTACGGGACGCGCCCGCTCCGCCGCGCCCGCGGGGAAGGGAAGGAAGTGCCGGGGCGTGTTTGTCAAGGCCCGGCTTCAGGGTTCCTTTTTAAATAGTGAACGCTTAAGAGTAGTGACGAAAGGAAGGCATTTCATAAACAAAAAATTCCCCTGAGACTCCACGGCTATGCAAAAGGCAGGAGCTTCGCGCGTGAAGAATGGGCGTGGAAACCCGGGGTCCGCGCCGGTCGAGCTGTGTCCCCCCCCCACCCGAGGGGACAGGCTGAGGTCCCCAAGGCTGGGCATGGGGCAGCAGGGCTGGAGCTCCCACTGTGTGCCCGGCCACTGGGAACATAAAGTCCCATCTGACACCTTGCACCCACCCCATCATGAGGGCCAAACTTGCAGGGGGAAACGGGACACGTGAGGCCGCCTGGACAAGGTGACGGTTCATCCAGGTCAAGCTTTGGCTCCGCATGGCGCGTGGAGGGAACAGCACGCACGAGAGCCCTGAGGCAGCGAGGCGCTCGGCTCCTCCTCCCCGGAATGCCAGGCGATCCGCGTGGGCGTGCGGCTGGGCTTGCGGGCGCCAAGAGGAGAGGTTGGCAGGTGGCAACTTAAGAGCAGGGAGTTGGAATTGTTCCAAGCGACAGAGCCGGATCATGCAGCCCCGAGAGACTGCGGTGGGGGTGAGAGTCTGGTTAAGAGCAGAATTCCGTTTGGAGCTCGCAAAGAGCCTTTACGCGCCCACGACTCTCCTTCGACCGCCAGACTCGCAAGGAGAAAACCCATTTTACAGACGAGACCGCACTGTCCCGTTTCCCAGACGAAAAAACCTCGGAATGTGCAGAGGTGGGGCTGCACCGCCCTCTTGGGCGTGGGCGCCTCGGGCTGGGCGGGCCTTGGCCACCAACGCTCGGCGGCCTAGAACTGTGGGCCGGGCGCCGGCCCTGCCACGCAGCCGCAGAGGATAGGCCCCGCGGGCGGGCGGCAGGAAAGGAGGCGACGCCCCGGGAGCGCGGCAGAAACCCGGCCGGGCCCGCCTCCCAGCTAGCCAAGCCGCGCCGGCCCCAGAAGTGATGAAAGCGCCGGCCCAGGCCAGGTCACGCCGAAGCCGTTGCCCTTTTAAGGGGGAGCCTTGAAACGGCGCCCGGGTTCCATGTTTGCATCCGCCTCGCGGGGAGGAAACTCCATGTTGTAACAAAGTTTCCTCCGCGCCCCCTCCCTCCCCCTCCCCCCTTGAGACTGGCTCCCCTCCCCTCCGAAGCTCGCGGGGATCCCTCCCTCCCACCCCTCCCCTCCCCCCCGCGCCCCGATTCCGGCCCAAGCCGGGGGGGAGGCCGGGCGCCCGGGCCAGAGTCCGGCCGGAGCGAAGCGCGCCCGGCCCCATGGACAGCTCGGCCGTCATTACTCAGATCAGCAAGGAGGAGGCGCGGGGCCCGCTGCGGGGCAAAGGTACCGGGGCCGCGGGCGGGGGCTGAGGCCGGTCGCCGTGAGAGGGAGGTGGAGGGGGCCGGGAGCCTCCCCGGCTACCACAGGCGCCCACCTCGGTCGGGTCCGACACCAGGCGGGAGATCACAATCCGGGAGGGAACTGGGAGTTCGAACTTGCAGACTCTCAGAGACGTGGGGCGGGGCCTCGCGCCTTTTGGGCGTTTGCATCTTCCCGAGGTGGGGAAACTGAGGCCAGGTAGTGCGAAAGGGCTCCTTCGGGGTCTCCCGGGCTGGCAGTATGCGGTGCCTGGGCGCCCAGCCCGCCCCTCCCCCGCAGTGTGGCTCCCCCACATTGGCGCCAATGGGGCTGGGAGATGGGGGTTGAAGAGGGCGCCTTCAGGCCACCCGCTAAGACTCCGCCCCCCTCTGGGCCGCGGTCCGGTCGGGGGAGGGGGTGCCGAAGTGACAGCAGTTTGGGGAGCTTTGGAAAGATCTCCCGCCAACACACACCCACGCTCCCCACAAACTTCCTTGTCTGTGTTGGGGACGTCGAGCCCCTCCGAGAAGCAGCGCTTCCAAAGGGCGCCTGTCACCCGCGGGAGAGCCGTGCACCGACCCGGGCACGCGGTGTCCCCGCTGCAGGCCTGGAATCGCCGGGCCTGTGCACACACGCACGAAGCAGCGGCAGCCGCCCTGCCCTGTTTGGGCCCCGGGTGCTGGCCGGCCCCGCGTGAGGGTCGTGCCTGTCCCTGTCCAGGTGTTGACCTTAAGGGTTTGGAAGCCCCCTCCCCTACCGTTTACCTACCTTCTGAGTGAGCCTAGCTCTGCCCCTAGGCAGGGGGCTGAGGGAGGGGTGGGCGGAGGGTGGATCTGTCAGTCAGTCACTCCAGGCTGCAGGTCTGGACTGGGCGGCATTGGAGGAGGTGGGGCCGACAGATGGCCCAGGGGACACTCTGGCCCCTACCCCCTGCGATGGGCCTAGCTCCTAGCTCCGTGAGGACTTTGGACCCTGGACCCACGAGGAGGTGGAGATGAGGGGAAGGCAGAAGTGGGCAACAGGCCTGTAGGCTCTGGCCCTCCTTGGCAGGGGGCTTCCTGGGTTCCTGGGCAGAAGTGGCTCAGGTAGAAGGTGGCAAGGGGTGTTCCCAGTGGGGCCCATCCTTAAGCAGTATTTCTCCTGAGCAGTGACCAAGGTTGTGAGGGAAAAAGGAAGAGCACCCCTCTGAGGCCTGCTTCAGGCAACCCACTCCCTCCACAGAGTGGCCTGCAGCAAACAGTTGCTCCTGGCTTGGTCGTTTCCAGGAGGGCCTGGCACCCATCACAGGCCCCCCACCTTAGTGTATTACCCTTGATGAAGCGGGGAGGCCAGGTCCTCCCAGCTCAGGGGTTCGCACCTAGGCAGCCCAGTGTGCATGCCCCTACCCTGGGCCTCCCTCCTGCAGGTGACCAGAAGTCAGCTTCTTCCCAGAAGCCCCGAAGCCGGGGCATCTTCCACTCGCTCTTCTGCTGCGTGTGCCGAGATGATGCTGAGGCCCTGCCCGCCCACAGTGGGGCGCCCCTGCTTGTGGAGGAGAACGGCGTGGTCCCGAAGGTGTGTGGTGGCCAGGTGGAAGCCGCAGCGGTACCAAGGTTTAGCTAGTGTTAGGGCTCCTGACCTGGCAGGTCGGATACTGAGGAGGGGAGGCAGTGGGAGTCTCCCCACCAACCTCAGAACTAGGTCTGTTGGTCTCAAGACTGCTGCCCAGTAAGAAGGGTACCTCTGCATTTCCCTCATCAAAGGATCTTTGGTGGCGTAGTGCTTAAGGTATTTTGACTGCTAACCGGAAGGTTGGTGGTTCAAACCTACCAGCTGCTCTACGGAAGGAAGACTGGAAAATCTACTTCTGTAAAGATTTACCACCTCGGAAACCCAAAGGGGGTTGCTTTGAGTCGGAATCGATTCGATGGCTAGGAGTTTGGTTTGGTTGTAGTTATGGAAGCTTTCTTCTACCTTGGTTTTACAGGTGGGGGAGTGGGGCCCAGGCCCCAGAGTTGGCGGGAGCAAAGCTGGGTGGTCTCTTCCCACTATACCTGTGGTTCCTCAGGGATAGAGGTGGGGGAGGGAAGAACAAGAGAGAAATGACTGGGGCTTTCAAGGGGTGACCCGGCCAGCCCTGCGCCTCCTCATAGCAGACCCCAGTCCAGTACCTGCTCCCCGAGGCCAAGGCACAGGACTCAGACAAGATCTGCGTGGTCATCGACCTGGACGAGACCCTGGTGCACAGCTCCTTCAAGGTGGGCCCTGCCCAGCAGCCCTCAGCCCCAGGGTCTCTGCCCTGGCCTGGGTGGGGGGCCTAGGCTGGGCCACGACCCCAGGGTCCGGGTGGGCTCTTGACCCACAGCCAGCCTCTCTTTTTCCCCACAGCCAGTGAACAACGCTGACTTCATTATCCCTGTGGAGATTGATGGGGTGGTCCACCAGGTGAGGGCAGCACAGGAGGCAGGTGGGGCTGGGCATATTCTTCCAGACCCCAGGCTCCTCCCACCCATCCTGAGAGCCCTGGATGGACGGGGCTTTGAGCTCTGAATGTCAGAGGCCCAGAGAGGGTGTGAGACTTGGTCAAGGCCACACAGATCCTCAGGGACTGCTGGACTCCTGGGCCTGCACGGCGGGAGGGTTTCTCTTCCCGACCCCTGCCCCCTTGCCCCACCGTGCCCGGGACCCAGTTCAAGTAATTCAGGATAGGTTGTGTGCTGTCTAGCCTGTTCTCCATTACTTGGTTCGGGGGCCGGTGCTCTGCAGCCCTGGGGTGAGGGGGCCGCGGTCAGCCCCCTGCATTTGGCTGAGGGACTGGGGCTTAGTGACTCTCCATGAGGAAGGGACAGAAGCTAGGGGTTGGGAATTCATTTTGCTGTTTTAGAAGGGGGGATGGTGTCCCCAGGGGTGGCTGGAGGGACTCAGTCATGTTGAGCCTACAGGTCCTGGGACTAGCCTCCCTCCTGTGTCCCCTCTGCCTTCTCCCACCCATTCCCCTCCCAGCCCTCAGCCGGTCCCCCCATGCCCTCCCTGGCCTGGTGGCCAGCAGTCCCCCTCACTGGCCCACCCCCCAGGTCTACGTGTTGAAGCGGCCCCACGTTGATGAGTTCCTGCAGCGGATGGGCGAGCTCTTTGAGTGTGTGCTGTTCACTGCCAGCCTCGCCAAGGTGAGCACCCACCCTCCGAAGGAGTCCTCTGACCCGCCTCCACGGCCCCAGAATGACCTTCCTCCTCCTCCCCCAGTACGCAGACCCAGTAGCTGACCTGCTCGACAAGTGGGGGGCCTTTCGGGCCCGGCTCTTTCGAGAGTCATGCGTCTTCCACCGAGGGAACTATGTGAAGGACCTGAGCCGGCTGGGCCGAGACCTTCGGCGGGTGCTCATCCTGGACAACTCACCCGCCTCCTACGTCTTCCACCCGGACAACGCCGTGAGTGCCGGTGGATGGACCCATCCAAGAAAGGGGCCGAGTTGGGCAGCGTGCGGGCCTTTTCCCTGCTTTCTTTCCAGGTCCCAGTTTCCTGTTTGTCCACTCGTCTTGTCCTTCTATCTCTGCTGCTTGTACTTCATGTGACCATATGGTGTAGAAGGTTCCCATCAAAGACTTAGGTTCATGCTTGGCATTGAAGCAGTATCAGGATTCCATATTGCCTGGGGTGACCCATGAGTGGGCCACAGAATTAAGTCAAGTGAGTCTTGATTGGGATTTTTGAGAAATGAAATAGAAAACACTGCAGTGTGTTACATACCGTCAGGTTAAGTAAGTATCAATCGATTCATGAAACTTTCTTTGCTCTGAATGTGTTATCACAAAAGTTTGAAAATCCTGGGTGAGGGGAGCCAGCCCTCTGGGGTGGGGTTTCCGAGAGCAGAGTGGGCCCAAGGGCTGGCCTGGACATCATGTGCCCAGGGCCACCAGTTGCCCTCACTGCCCCACCCCTCTCTCCTCAGGTACCAGTGGCCTCTTGGTTTGACAACATGAGTGACACTGAGCTCCACGACCTCCTTCCCTTCTTTGAGCAACTCAGCCGAGTGGACGACGTATACTCGGTGCTCAGGCAGCCACGGCCTGGGAGCTAGTGAGGCTGGGTGGGGCCAGGACCTGCCCCAATGGACGCCCACACCTCCTCACACTCGGACTTGGCAGCACCCACTGCTCCTTAAGAAAATCCACAGGCTGCCACACTCAGTGCCAGGGGGAGCAGGTGCCTCCCCGAACAGCCTGGCCTGCCTACAGAGGGGGCAGCAGGTGGCAATAAGCGCTGGGGTCCCTGTGTCTGTGCCTTAGAACCCCCTGTGCCTTCTTGGGGTGTCTGTGGGGGCCCTGTGTGCCACTCCCTTTTTCTCTCTTCTCTCTGTGCTGCCATGTTTCTCTGCTGCCAAGTTGGGCCCTTGGGCCCCTTCCGGTTCTGCTTTGTTGGGGGGCAAGATTCCTGTTGCCCCATGCCTTGGCCCCCAGCCTGGTAACGGTGGACACAAGTGCCTTGCGTGGAGCCCCTCTTCCCTGCCCAGCTTTTCCAGGTGCCTGTCCTGGGCAGCTGCCGTTGCCTGGACCCGCCTACAGCTCATTCACTGTATCCAGGCTGGCTGGAGAAACCGCTCCCAGCCCCTCCCCCATGGCCTCCCTGGGGACTGTTACCGCCCCACCAATCTGCCTGGGAGGGCAGGTGATCTGTGAAGGGAGCAGGCTCTGTCCTTAGGACCTGAGTCCAGCCCCTCCCATCACCCTAGTCCCACCCCTCACATCTGCCTTAACCACCTGTGACCAGGCCCCCTGGGGCTCTGCTCCCTCAGCTGTGAGTGGGGGTGTAGCAGAACCCCCTACGGTGCCATATAAATATGTACATGTGTATATAGATTTTTTTTAGGGATGGGAGATGGAGGGGTTGGGGGTAGAAAACACCCCTCCCTCCTCCCTTTCCTGAGCCCGGAAATTAGGGGGAGGGAGGGAAAGGATTTTTACATTTTTTAAACTGCTATTTTCTGAACAAAACAAGGTGGGCCCCAGGCCTGTCCTCTGTCCCTCATACCCCTGTTGCGCTCTCCATTCATTGGACCCATTTCTCAAGCACCTCTCTGCCTGTGCCTGCACTGTACTAGGCCCACCAGCCGTGGGGTGGGGGGTCTGCCTTCCCCACCTGCCCCACACTTCACCGGTGCCTTTGTGGGATCTGCAGGAGGTAGGATGCTTCTTGTGGGACTTGGGGTCTCCAGGAAGTCTGGCCAAGCGGTCCCCCTTCCCTGTGCCAACCCACCTCCTTCAGCCCCCTGCCCCACCCCCTGCTGGCTGGGGGCTGCTCCCAGGACACCCTTCCGGCTCTGGCTGATATCTGGAGCCCCTCCTCCTACATGCTATACCTGGAGGTCACCACCCTAGGCTTTCCCAGGGCCCTAACGGTTAAGCGGACCCATAAAGCTGTGCCAAGGGGGATAGCAAGGTGAGATGTTCTTGTGTCTTCGGGCCCCCACCCCCCATTGAGAGCTGGTTGGGGAGGGAGGATGGTTGGCTGAGTGGAGTGATCTACCCGTTTTAAGTGCCTTCTCTCTGACTGAGAGCCCCACGGTATGAGAACTAAAGAGAAAGCCAGACCTCCTGTCTTGCCTCTGTGGTTATTGTGGGGCAGGGTTAAGTGAGGGGGATTATGCTGCTTGTATTTACATAGCTTGTGTCTACCTTGGGCCAGCATTCTGAGGGGGGGTGTGTGTGGGGGGACGGCCCCAGCTGCCTCCCCACCCCCGACCCCACCCTGGTCTTGGGAGCTCAGGCTTTGAATCAGATCTGAGGGACCTGGCTCTGCTATTCAGTGACTTCGCTCAGCCTCAGTGAGTCCATCTGCAAAATGGAGATTCCCTCCCTGATGGCTCAGATGAGCCCCACTGCTGACCAGAAGGATGGAGGTTGGAACCCATCCAACAGCTCCGTGAGAGAAAGACTTGGCATTTCTGTTTCCGTCACGATTACAGCCAGGAAAACCCTATGGGGGCAGTTCTGTCACAGGGAGTCACTAAGAGTCGGTATCCACTCCAAGCCAGCCGCTGCAGAGTTGCTTGCAAGCCGTACATAGAGAACTCGATAAGTACTAGCTATAAAACGAGTACGCCCGTGTCAGGGAGGCCCTTGGGGCGTGTTTGGGGACGAGGAGGGGGTGTGGTCTCTGTCCTCGAGTGAGCAGGGAGGGGCTGGGGAGGCCCCACAGGGGAGATGGGGAGCGTGGGAGAGGTACAGGGAAGCGGAGTTGGCTCACAACGGAAGAACTTTTGAACAGCGCTGACGTGGGCTGGCCTGAGAGGTAGCGCGCCCACCTCCTGCTGCGCAAGCCGAGCGAGGGGTCACGGCGCCACCCGCGGACAGGGCTCGGCAGGCTTAGGCCCCTGGTGGGAGGCTAGGCGGGCGGAAGGCCCAGTCTCGGTACCCCGTGCTTCCCCCACCCACTCGCCTCCAGACCCACTGGCCGCGCCCTTGCTCCAGCCTCCGCCCCACTTCCTGCCCCCACCCCTGCGGCCCTGGCAACACTTCCTTTGCAAAGCCGGGCAGCCCCGGGCCCTGGCAGGAAGTGCCCCCCTCCGTCCCTCCCAGGCCCGCGGTTCCTAAGTCCTCCTCGCCTGCTTCCCACCGTGGCCACTAGAGGTCTCTTTGTCCTTGCGGACGCCAGGGCTCTCTGCTTGGCCTTCCCCAGCCTGTCTACGGGGCCTGGGCACACACGTGACCCCACCCCTACCCCAGGGGCTAGAAATAAGAGGGCCTATACCAGACGCTCCTCCTCTCCGGGCTTGGGGAGTTTCTGGAGCGCCCCCCACCCACCCCCACCGACACACAGGCAAGGAGCAAGGGGTGATAGGCCTTTCCCACCTGTCATTGGACCCCAAGCTCCACATTCCCTACTCCCTCTACCCCTCATTACCTTGCTTTGGGAGTCCAGCCCCAGTCCTGCCTTGGGGGGCGGGGCAGATGCTCATCCCCCTCCTGCCGCCCTGAGGGGGGTCTGCAGGTTGGTAGCTCCCCTCCTTGAGCAACACCCGACTTCCCAGGAAAACCCCTGGAAAAAGAAACCCATAGCACCCTCAAGTCAGCTTGACGTCGACTGCTGTCTGGCTGGACCTGCGGCGCCTCTGTCAGGGTGAATGCCCAGGCTTCACTGGGCCGTGACCCTCTCCTCTGAGTCCTGCTCTATTTCCTGCCCTCCATGCAAACCCTGGTCCTCCAGATTTGCATCCCAGAGGCCCAGAAATGCCCAGGAGGATCAGGGCTCCCAACTTTGAAAGAGACCACAGTCAGCTACACACCTCCACCCACACAGAGTTCAAATCAACCACAAGCGTGGGCCAGGCACCATGCCAGGCCCTGGGACCGGGGAACAACTGTGCTGCGGTGTCTGCTGTCAAGGAACTCACAGCCTAGTGTGGGAGAAAGAACCGTGAATGGGAAATCCTAACACTGACGCGTAGTAACTTCAGTTCCAGATGTGAAAGGCAGATGTGGGATAAAAGAAGGACCCTGAACTCAGACTGGGAGTTCAGAGGTGCGGAACTGGAAACACTTTCTCCTGGCGGAGGTGAGGCTCAGAGAAGCTTGGAAAAGAGAGATTCCGGTGAAGGTGGCCTGAAGGAGGAGAGGAAGTAGTGTGAACAAAGCTTCAGGAGCAGCTACAAAGGGAGCTTTGGGAGATGACAGAAATATTGGAATTGCACACAAGAGGGAGGGGAGAGAGTGGACATGATGGTGCAGACAGACAGCAGGAGAGGTCACATGGTACAGGTCTGTATGCAGGCCACCCCATCTGTCAGTCTGTCACACTGTGGTGGCTTATCTAACGCTATGATGCTGAAAGCTATGCCACCAAGTATTTCAAATACCAGCAGCATCACCCTTGGTGGACAGGTTAGAGCTTCCAGCTATGACAGACTAGGAAGAAAGGCCTTGTGGTGGTTATGTTTGTGTGTTAACCTGGCTGGGCCTGGTTGAGTGGCTGGGCAGCTGGTGGTAGTTATTCCCCATGATGAGACTGGCAGTCAACTCCATGGTGGGATCTACCACAAGCAGCTGAGTAGCTGCTTTGGGTCTGTGGTCTGCTTCCTGTATATAAGAAGCAGCTTTGGGAATGGTGTCTAGCATATGGCACGTTTGGACCCTGCATGTAGAGATGTTGTTGTTCAGCAACCTGCCATGCTCTGCTGACCTTGGGACTTGCAATGAACTTGAATTAATGGCCTGCCATGTGTGGTTTGGTAACATCAGGACTGTGCCTTTTTACTTGTCAACCTTGAGCTTCTCAGCCTCAGCAGCCAGGAGCTGTCTGAGTGAAGAAACACCTCTAGCTCCAGTGGGTTGGGAGCAGGAGGCAGAGCTGGAGGGGCTTTCACCCAGCCCCTAGAGCCTGGCACTTTGAACTTGGACTTAAAGCTTCCAAACTGTAAAATAATAAACTCCTGTTTGTTAAGGCCATCCCACTTGTGGTATATTCTTGTCAGAGCGGCACTGGGTAACCAGAACAGGCCGGTGATCTATTTAAAAAACTCAGCCATTGAAAACCTTATGGATCAAACCCTGTTGTTGTTCTTAGCCGCTTTAGCCTAATTAATAATTTATGTCTGCCTCGAGCACTGTGCTGTCTCAAAGATTTGTCTCTATGGGATCGAATGGACGACAGCGCCTTGAAAGGTCAGAAGAGAAGCTTAGGGGCCGAGACCTTACGTTAATGGTAGGTGGTGGGATAATTTGGAAAAGGATGGCAGGAATGGCTATACAACTCGAAGAATGTAAAGGTCACCGAACTGTTCATGTAGAGTTTATTGAATGGTGTATCCTTTGCTGTGTATGTTTTCACAAGAAATAAAAAGCTTGTGGATCACAACCGAACATTGTTCAACTTGCTTGCTCTGGGCATGTTATTAGGAGAGGTGAGTCTCTGAAGGAGCACGTCCTGTTTGCTGAGGCTGAGGGCCGGCCAGGGCAAGGGAGATCCTGGGTAAGATGGCTTAGGGCAATAACCGCGACAATGGACTGGACCGTTCTGTGAGCACCAGGATGATGCAGGACCGGAAGATGTTTCCTTCTGTTAACACAAGGTCACCACGAGTTA